TKSMAAAATCACATCAGTTACACTTCCATTGATTTACATATTGACATACTCATGTCTATTGTATTCTGCTGCCTTTCCTATCCTCTACTATCCCCCCTCCCCTCCCCTCCCCTCCCCTCTTCTCTCTCTACCCCCTAAAAAACAAATGCCAAATGTCTTCTTTGATATAAGGAGAGTAACTAAGAACAGACTAGGGAAGAAGAGCACGAGAAGAAGACCAACATTAAACAAGGATGAGAGGTGGGAGGGAAAGGGAGAGAGAAGGGAAATTGCATGGATATGGAAGGAGACCCTCAGGGTTATACAAAATTACATACAAGAGGAAGTGAGGGGAAAGGGAAAAATAATACAAGGGGGAGGAATGAATTAAAAATATATTTTTAAAAAGCTACTAAACCAACAATCACACCCTCAACCCAACAAACAGCAACAAAAACGTCACTAGAATCCCTTTAGATTGCAAGTGAGAATCTGATTACCAGGATTACTACATTATAATATTCAATTGATCTGGTGTTTGATAAAGGTTTAAGAGTTGCTAGAAAGAAACAAAAGTATTGCCCATTCATAGGGATAAAAACAAATTAGTAGAAACTCTTCATAATAATGGTCTTAAACAGTTTCTACTAATTTGATTGGTAAAATAGACTTTAAAAATACATGATCCAAATTAATTTTGTTTTCACTAGACTCCCTTTCAAATCAAAGTGAGAAAATTAAATGGATAGAAACATATATGCCATGAAAATAGTAACCAAAATAGTTGGTGTGTATGTACTAAGGACAAATGAGCCTTTTAAGTCAAATATTGTTACAAAATGGAAACTTCAATATCCCATTTTCTATTTCCTTTTGTTTTTTGGTACTAGAGCTTGAACCCAGAAGCACTTTACTACGAGCTATACCCCAATCCCTTTATTATTATTTATTTTTTTAGCAGAGTCTAAGTTGCTTAGGGCTTTGCTAAGTTGGTGATACTGGCCTCAAATTTGTGATCCTCCTGCTTCAGCCTCCCTAGCCACTGGGATTACAGGTGTGTGCCACAACACCCATCTTCCATTTTCTATAAAGAATAGAAAAAACTAGACAGATCAATAAGAAACAGAGACTTGAACAACATTATATATCAAGCATACCTAAAGATATATGTAGAACACTCCATCCAATAATTAGAGAATAGTCATTTTCCTCAAATCATACACATTATTGTCAGAAGACACATCATTCTCCAGTTCAGAACATATATTAGGCCACAGAACATGACTGAATAAATTCAAAAACCTTGAAATAATAAAAATACATTCTCTGACTACAATGGAATAAATTAGAAATCAGTAACAAAACTGGAAAATTCAAATTTGTGAAAATTAAACAATACATTGTTAAACAACTATTGGATCAAAGAATATGTTGTGAGGGAATCCAAAAATACTTTTAGATGAATGAAAATAAAAATACAACATACCAAAATATGGGATTCAGAGAAAGCAGTGCTAAAAGGGATATTTATTGCTATACATGAAATTAATAGTTTTCAAATTTAATTTTTACTTGCACTTCAAATCAATAACATTACATATTAACAATAGAGAAATAGATGAGCAAATAAAACCCAAAACTAGAAAATGAAAGAAATAATAAATATTAGAACAAAGATACATGAAATAATGATTAGAAAAACTGTAGATCAATAAAACCAAAGTTGGGTCTTTGAAAAGATCGACATAAGATACAAATCTTTAAGCTAAAATGATTTTTAAAAGGAGAAAGAGAAGTCAACCAAAAATTAAACTGGGGAGATTATTCCTCATCATACAGAAATAAAGATGAGAAGAGGATACTATGAATAATTTTATGCCAAAATTAAACAGATGAAATAAATAAATTTCTAGAAAAACATAACTGCCAAAAAGTGATCTAAGAAGAAATAAGAAATCTAGAAGTCTAGAAGTAGAGGCATTAATTAGGAAACAAAAATGTCCCAAGAAACAAATTCACTGGTGAATTCTCAGAAATATTTAAAGAATAAATTTTAAGGCTTTAATTTTAAGACTCCCTAACTCATTCTACAAGGCTAGCGTTATTCTGACACTAAAGCTAAAGAAATCACAAGAAAACAAAACTTCAGATCAATGTTCGTTATGAATATACATGCAAAAATTCTCAACAGTATACTAGGCAACCAAATGGAGCACCATATTAAGAGGATTATATGCCATGAGTAAGTGATATTTACCCCAGGAAAGCAAAGGCAGTTCAGCACAATGAAAATCAAACAATATAACATACCACATTAATAGCATTAAGAGGAAAACACATAATCATCTCAATTGGTACAGGACAAATATCTGACATACTCTAGCATCCTTTCTTCATGAAAGCACTCAACAAACTAAGTACAGAAGGGGATGTGCTAAATATGGAGAGGGTGTTTGTGAAAAACCTAGAGTTAACTTCACTCAACAGAGAAACACTAAAGGTCAGGAATAGGACAAGGATGCCTGCTTATACTACTTTTATGCAACACTACATTGGAAGTTCTAGCCAGAATAATTAGTTAAGAAAAGGAAATACATCCAAATTTCAAAGAAAGTAAATCCATCTCTATTCAGAAATGATAAAAATCTTATATACTATAAAATACTAAATAACCTCCAAAATAAGTTATTATAGCTAATAAATGTATTCTCCTCCTCTCAGTTTGTGAGCACTTCAGCCTGTTGAGGCTTTGGAAAAATATAGCACATACTACCAGCACTATTTCTTTCATTTTTTTCTTTGTTGTAGAAGAAGATACATGGAAAGACTAAAGAAATAAAACAATCTGCATCCCTGACTGGTTACATTCCTATACATCAATTATTATTTCTCTTTTATTTTCCCCAAGCACATGCTATGGTTTGAATAAGTGCTCCCTCAAATGTCCATGTCTTGGAAGCTTGATGCCCAGGGTGGTATTATGAGGCTGTGGAACTTTTAGGAGGTGGGGCCTAGTGAGATATCTATAGGTCATTGGATGTATAGTCTAGAAGGGGATTGTGGGACCCTGGTTTCTTCTTATTCTTTCATTGCTCTGCTTCCTGGTTTATGTGGTGAGCAGTTTGTTCTGCCTTGATGTACTGCCCTCTCCAGAGAACCAAAGCAATGTGGCACTTGATTTTGGACTAAAACATCCAGAACCATGAATCAATATAAACCTTTTCTCTTTATGGGTTAATTGCTTCAGGTATGTCATTATAGAAATAACAAGCTAATTAATACAGCAACTAATAGCACAGACCAAAAAACCAAACAGGATTGAGCTCTTATAAGAGGTGGCAAAGAATAAATCATATTGGGACAGATTGTCCTACTCCATAGCCAGGCTTGTGAAAATGATAGCAGCTATCTAAGGACAGGCAAGGCAGCTAAGACCCCAGGGCCTGCTAAAATAATAGAGGGAACTTAAAAACTTACTGAATGTTGTAGGGCACAGTACTAGGATTGAGCACTCCATATACAGTGAAACCTTTATAGAGGGGGTTCCTGAAGTCTGGTTTCCTCTGAACCAAGAAAGGCCACACAGAATGTGTTTTCTCATAGACTCTGTTAGAAAAGAAAAACAAACCAAAAAATTACAAACAGTAAGCAAGTAATCTCAGCAGTACTGCTGAACTTTATATTTAGTCAAATATTACTAATAAGTATCCCAACTCAAGAAAGAAGGAAAATTGAAATAAGTGGCTAATGAATGTTGGTAGAGGAACAGATTTCTGGGCTCCAATTTATCCATCTTTAAAATGAATAAAATGTTAGTAAGAGTTCCAAATTAAATAGCAAGAATTCTAAGTCCAGTGTTTGCTGTGGATGTGGCTACAAGATCTTAGAAAATTTCCTAGCTGTTTCTGGGCCCGTTTCCTTGTCTGTACAATGTGGCCTCTAGCATGTCTTCCAAATCTAGGATTCTATGAAATGATGACCTTTCCAGTTTTAAAAATATTGGATTTGGGGTTGGATATAACTCAGTTGGTAGAGTGCTTGCCTAGCATGCACAAGTCCCTGGATTCAATCCCCAGCACCACAAAAAAATATTGGATTTTTTTAAAACGTCTGGTAGTTTAAGAAATGGAAATCCTAGATGGAATATTTATGGTTAGCCCATGTTTCCAGCTTCTTCTCCCTTCAGAAGGTTAAAGACAGTGAAAGACAATTGGCAGTTTATACTAGCAAATATTTTTGAGTTATCCCAGGTAGGTAACCAAAGATTGTGGTATTTATATGGCAAGACTGATTCTTCTACTTTAATTAGGACTGCAAGTAACCTGATCAACCAATAAGGAAGTTCCTTATTTAACACTTCAAAATACATGGGATCCACTGGTCCCAATGAGATCTGTATGTAACCACATATGGAAAGGTCATTTGTACACACTGTGTCGAAGAAAGCTGGAGGAGGAGAATGAAGGAGAATACTATAGGTGGTAGTACCTAAAATTGTGGTCCTGTAACTTTTACAACCCACAGACCATTTCAGTCAGGCTAAAGGCCCTTTATATCCATCTTCCTCATCTGTCACTGGTTAAAAACAACAACAAATCTTCCAGAGTTAAGGTAACTAATATTTATTGTTACCTATGTGTCAAATTACTGTTACAGAGTATTTATCCAAAATACTTCCTTAAATCTTTATAATAAAATCCTGTGAGGTGTTTAGTTCTAAATTACTAATATAAGATAAAAAATTAATTAGCCTAAGCTCACATAGCTAATAGGTGACAAATTCAAAGTTTGTATCTTGGACTACCTTATTCTAACTAAGGCTTATGCTTTTCCTTTCATGAGTGAATGACAGTTCTGCTTATTTTAAGTAATCAGTATTTTAACATATATTAAAATGTTCAACTTTTCTACTTTAACAATGAGATTCAGAATTGTGTGGGAAATGGGTCCAGATATATTAATCTCATTTTAAGAAGGGAAAAAATTATGGAAAAATGGACAGCCGGTTGATAGAAAGAACAGGTGTAAAATCATTTGGGGAGAGTGATAAAGGTCTTGTTGCAAAAAAGAGTGGGGAGGGAGATAGATAGGTATATATGTATGCAAGGAAGCATCTAAGTAAATACACGTTAAAGCAGAAAGCTTCGTTGCTGTTCTCTATGTTGTCAAGAAAAATAATGGAATCATGGAGAGCAGATGCCATCTAGGCTATGTCATGAAAGGGCCCAAGAACCTAAGCTGTTAACGCAGCCAATAGTGTGAAATGTTTTCTCTGCCTCTAAAATAAGAAGAGTGATGCTCAGAGGTGCTCCATACCTTGTGAATCTCATAAACTATTTATGTTTTCTACATCATGGGGATGTTGGTTCAAGCCAGGGTGACAAAGTTAAACTGACTACAAGAACTGGACAGATAACATTACAAGTAGGCTAGGATTGAACAATAGGGAGTGGCAAGAACTGCAGCCAATGAAAATTTGTCCCATTCAAATGCAGGAGCTGCTATTTAGCTCTAGTTAATTATTGATATAACAGAATATAGGACCAGTGTTGACAGAGTTCCTGGTTTTTCAGAATATTTTGGTAAAACAGCTTATCTACTTTTAAAAAAATCCTAAATCAACTGGATTTGATGTTAAATTCTCTAACACTTAAACGTTGGCAACCGAATTCACATTTTAAATACTCACAGTCTAAACAAACCTCGACTGTTGGGCTGGGATGGGTCTATGAGCTGCCAGTTTGTGATCTCTGATACAAGTGAAAAGGATTGTGGGTAATGACCATTCATACCACAATGATTGATTCTTTGTTTTAAATTTTGTATTGGTGCATTATAATTATACATAATAGCAGGATTCATTATGTCATATTCATATATGCACACAATTTGATAAATCTCATTTCCCAGTACCTTCCCTTCACCATCCCTGATCCTATAGCAGCCCTTGTATATTCCCTATTTTATTGGCTCCTCATGATTGCCCTGGAAAGTAGGCATTATGATCTCTATTTTACAGATGAGGAATCTGAAGTTCCAAGAGATCCCTGTGTAAACATTGAGTGCTTTATGATTCAAAAGTTCTTTTCATTATTGTTATCTCCTCCCATTTCCCTGATTGCTGTCTAAAATTCAGAGTGGTGAGTGCATTCTTCTCTCTATTCAGTGTTTTCTCACAAAATGAATTCACCTTAGATCTTCCCGATCCTTTTGGCAGTTTCCAAGGAAGTTTCCAAATTGGCAGGAGAAAACATGGTCATGGATCTCCAGCAGAAAGTTTTCATTAAATTCAAAGGCACAGGGAAACTGTTCCATTAATTGCCAAATACAGTCTAGGAACTGGGTGAAGATAGGGGACACTTCTTTAGAGTCCCCATCCAGGTGGCCACACCTGAGAAATGCAAATCATGGTAAAGAAAGATACTGGTTAGCATCAGGGATCAAACTGTCTGTAGAAGACTATAAAAAGTTCACTTTGTGTCTCTGCTGCATTGGCAAGAAAATACCTCAAGTCAAAGTGCCATCCAGAATCTCAAAACCAGTTAATCATAGTAAGCCCGTTAGCCACTGGTGTCCTTCATTATTCTCTAGACTTTAAGACCTTTTGGTCATTTGTCCGCTTTCTCTTATACTCTGTCTCCAACAGGACTTTCTGCAATGAAGGGAATTTTCTACAGTAGTAATGTCAATACTAGAGTCACTGTGATGTCATTAGTTTAACTGAGAAAATGAATTTTTAATTGTATTAAATTTAAATTAATTTAAATTTAAATAGCTATGTTTAGCTTAATGTGAGCAAGGACCACACCAAATTGTTCACTGCACAGTGCCTGGGACAAAATAGATAATGAAAATTATTAAATTTGCGAATGAAATTTCATCTCAGAACTGAGTAATGTTTTCTCCCTCATAATATCCTTTTTACCAACTCTACAATCAACAGGAAATCCTATCCCACTGGAAATCAACATGTCATCCTCAGCCTGTATGCTGAATGTTCTCTGCTTTCTGATATAACTGCAACCTGACTCACCAAGGACACCACCTCTTCTTGGGCCCCAAATCAATGATGAGTACTAATTGTTCCAATTTTCCACATACCCTAATCCTAAAACAGGGTAGAAGTACAATCAATCTTCTCCTTGCTCATATTGCTGCTTTCAAACTACTACTCATTTCACATTATTTAAAAAAAAAAACATTCACACACCACTAATCTCAGTGGATCCTGGATATAAACAACTTGGTTGGTCATAAAGGCATTCACAGTGGAATACTGATTTGTTTCACATTTTTTTTAAAATTCTTTGTAGTGTCTTCCACATGTTTATCAATAAATACTTACTGGGAGTTAAAAAAATACTTCCAATATGGGTCATACTGTTTAGATTATTACCTTCCCTTTCATCCAATATTGTCTTTTACCAATATTATCTGAAGATTTTCACTCCAGTTTTACATATTTCTCTTTGGTGCTGTTGAAGATGACAACACTAGCTAAACTGAAAGTATCCTTAACTAACGGAAATATAATTATCTTCACCGATCTTCACCTCTGTTCCACATCAGCATCCTGAGTCCATGGCTGTAGTCTGGTTCTTGAAACCACCCAGAAGTTCTTACACCACCTCTAAAATTTTAATCTAAATAAATTACTCCGTATACATTCCAAAACATACTTTTTTTTAACCTCCTCTAGCCCTTATCAAAAAAGGCCTCTCCACCAGCCAGATCCTTATTGGCTTCCCTTTGTTCCTTATCCAACCTAGACTTCATTGTATGTCCCAACAACTATTGTCTCCCTATTTTCTTCAATTTTTTTGGTATTTCTTGTCATTATTCATCAAAACTCAACCACATATCAGCCTAAAAACCTAGCTTCTCTTCTCTCACATCCTAATACTTAAAGAAGCTATAAAATCATATAAATTCATCCCATTCAAAATTAAATCTCCACATTAAGTCGAGACTCAAATGTTCCCAAATAATCATTGTCCAGAAAACAATTTTCTCATCATCCTTAAAGCTCTTGAAAATTTTAAGCTACTTTCTCAAACCTCTAACTCATTTCACATCTTCCTTTACCCTAGATCTATGGTTTACTACAAAAGATCAAGTTCATTAAGTTCAAAATATCTAACAAGTGTGTCTGACACATTCACTCTCCTCCTGTATTTCCATCCAGTCTCCATGGAAGAGGTAGGACCTTAGTTATAGTTCCAGTTAATCTTTTCATTTGGACCGGAGCTTTCACCTCTTCCCAACTCCTCAGAAGTCTTAACTACCAAAAATGCATCATCTCTTTACAATCTTCAACTTTATCTTCTTTAATGTTTCTTTCTTCTCTACAAAGAAAATTGCTCAAATCTCTCCTGCCTTTAAATACCCAAATACTCAACATCATAACCTATCTAGGCACAATCCCTTCTCATCCACCCCCTTTGGGAACTTGATTCTTAGGAAGAGAATTATACATTCACATTTTTCTTCTCTATTGCTTACTCATGCCTCTGTTCACTGTTTTTTGGCTTCTACTTCCACCACTTTACTCAACTGGTTATCACTAAGGATCATTCAAACCCACATATTGCAAAATTGTCATATTGCCCTACTGGGTTATACTGGGTTATGTGACACTGCTGACTACTCATGTGAGTTCTCCTCTCATTTTTTCTTTTGTTTCCTTAGATTTCTTCTTACCTCTCTGACAACTCTTTCAGTCACCTTCATGGGATTCTTTTCTTCAATAAATCTTCAAGTGTATCATCCAAGGCTTTGTCCTATCACTTGGTTCTTCTACAGACAACTTTTTGAGCCATCTTATCTGAAGCCATAGCCCAAAATGCCATTCACAAGCAGATTAACTCTCAAATCTCTAATCCTCTCTGTCAAATCCAGAGCTAGGAAATTCTAAATTAGTACTGAGGAGTCTGCTTAGTGGACATGTCTTAGATGCCCCATGCCAAATAGGTCCTAAATTCAAAACACCTTTCCCCCAACACTTGCCCTGTATTGTTCTACATTCTCTGAGTAAACCCAGCAAACTAAGGCTTAAAAAATTGAAAGTTCTGCTAACCTTTTTCTTTCATTTCCTGATTCTTTCTATAAGTTCTACTTCCCAAATACCCTTTTATCTGTCTCAGTGGCCTCTGTCTTTTTATTTTGGGCCTTCATAAATTGTGATAAATCTCTAATTCATCCCCTTACCTCCAATCTCAATTTTCTATACCATTTCCCTGTTCAAAGTTCTCCATTATAGCTTTACTAAGTAGAGAAAAATATTCAGAACTTTTAGGGAAGAAAGGAGGAAGGAAGGAATGGAGGGAGGGAGGAGGGAAGGAGGAAGGAAGATCACCTCCTTCCTAGCCTCCCTTTCCTAGATTCATTGCCTCTATTCTCCCCCTCTGTACTTTATGACCTAGTGACATTGGATCACTTGCAGTTCCTCAAATAAACCATTCTGTTTAACGCCTTTATGGTTTCACACACATCAATTCTAGAATGTTTTCCTCTTTCTATCTAACACCTACTAATTTAAAGCTCAGATTATATGCACTATTCCAGGAAGCCACCTTTGCACCAGAATAGATAACCTTCCTTTATGGTTTTCTCTGACCTCTACGTAAAGAGGTCAGAGAAAACCATAAAGGAAGGTTTAAGCACTTTTCTCTGTGGCCCATGAAAGCTTTTCTTTCCTAAAATATTTAACAATTGAATATAATTACTTGTATTCCTTCAAAACAGAGATGATATTCTGATCACCTTTGTAGACTTAATACCCTGAAATACTTTTTTCTTGATGAAAAACATTTAGGGTCATGTTCAAACTTCTGTTTCTTCCTACACAATACCAAATTGGTAAATCTGGATTTTATTAAATCTTACCCAAAGGAACTTTTCACACACCCCCTCCTTCAAAATAAAGATATTTTTACCTTTGGGAGAACTTGTGGCCCATAGATATCCATTCCTTCTCTATTAGAATCTTCATTTTATACAAAAAGAAGATTTTTGCATTAGGAAAATCATAAAATAACAATACACACAAGAATATCAAAACATTTTGCTGAAATGAATGAGTTGATAAGAAAATAAAGTTAAAATCCAAAATGATAAGTATGTAACTTTGATTACAATTATAGGCATATATATAGGTTGCCTTCAAACTTTATAATGCACTCAGGAGAAATTACATTGGATTTGTATCTAGTGTCACTTTTTTTTGGCCTTTACATGACACCATAATTAAATGTAATCATGTGCTTATGCACAATGTTAAACTCAACCCATAAAAAATAAGAATCAAAAGGCAGAATTTGAGTTTGTACTAAGAATGAAATAATTTTCAAAGGTTAAAAGAAAATTCTAGGCTAGGAGTGGTGGTACATGCCTGTAATCCCAGTTATGCAGAAGACTGAGGAAGGAGGATCATAATTTGGAGACCAACCTTAGCAACTTAATGAAATCCTGTCTCAAAATAGAAAATAAAAAAGGGTGGGGGATATAGCACAGTGGTAAAGCACCCCTAGATTCAATCCCTAGTACTACAAATACAAACATGCAAAAAAAAAATAAAGAAATGAGGATAAACCATGATTATCGGTTCTCTTTTTTAGGAAGATCAACAAAGTAGCATTGGCTTCAACACATGAAAACAACCATGAGTCTGATGTTCACATAGATATGTTACAGAGAATGACCTTATTAGGCAGTCCATTTTACTGTTAACCATTCAGCTTTACAAACTTTCTGAGCCTTTCCTATACTTTATAACAGCCTGTTGTATACAACTTAACTTCTAATGGGTAATGAAGTACATTAAATGCACAACAGAAGGTATACAGACTACATATGCATTGTTTAGAGTAGCTAAACTAAAATATAGCTATTTTTTATAGATTTAAAGCTCATTCTTGTAAAAACATGGGACAAGTTAGTTGAGAGTTCTTTTATTAATTTATTCACAAACTGCTACTGACACAAAGTAAAATGCAATCACTGCTCTCTTACCATGAGTCCTTTGAATGTCCTATAAAATGGATCTAGAAGAATGCTGGCCACAGAGCAGACTTGTGCTGTGCGGTCCCACCCATCAGAACAATGGACTAAGACATTGGCCTTTTCTACTTTTACTGCCTGTGAATACAGGGCAAAAAAAAATACAATAAACCACCTTTGCTTAGCATGCTGGACTAATAATAGGGCTGTCAATACTGTCCTTATAGCACAAAGACATTTATCTAACTGGGTTACATTAATTTCTTTACATAATATCAGAATCCTTTAGGGGGAATGAAAGAAAGAGTATATGAGAAGAAGGAAAGCTTACATAATAGGAAAATAAAATAAGAAAACAATACCTAATATGGGATAAAGGGAAAACCTAAGTCCATAAAAATAAGTATCAATTCTCAGAGGAAGAGTGGGTAGAAGGAGAAAGTCATGCTCAAAAACACAGGACAAATCCACATCCCAGTCCCAGATCTAATAAAGTTTTCCTATAGCTATCTAGTCTTACTAACAAACCCTCCCAACTTAAGATAGAAGAGCTTGCCTGCCTTAGCTTGGTTTCTTTCCAATCAGAATAATGTAAAGACCTGAGCAATTTTGGCAATGGCAGATTTTGATTATTCATTTACTAATTCTAAGGCTTAATTATGTAACTGCATGTGTCAGATAAGTACTATGTATTAGAGATACAAATATGATAATCAATTTTTACCTTTGAGGAGCCCACAAACTAGTCACAGTACCCTAAGGTAAATTATTATAAGACACTGGAAAAACAACTGCTAGAGTGTAATGTGTGGTAAATATGTCCTTTTGCAGGAGCTGGGGGAACTTGAGCCTCAAAGAAAGAGTAGGACATCCTTAGGTGAGGAAGGAAAAATATACTAATTAATTCACGTATTCATTCATTTGCAAATATATGTCAGTCGATGCTCAATGTACAAGAGACACTACAGTGTGCACTAGGAATGCAAAGGAGACAAACTCTTGAACAAATTACTGCGAACAGGTGATAAATAAAACAATAAAATTCCATGACAGGTACAACAAAAGCACAAAAGATAAACAAAGAGGAACAGATAACTAAAATGGATGTTTTCAGTTAAATAGGCATTTGCCAGACTGACTATAAGGAAAGGACATTCCATCAGGGCAAACAAATGACAGCAAATACGTATGCAAGGAGGCATGACATAGGTGAGGAACTCTTAAATAGCTGGTTACCATTAAGTTTGGGCTGGGAGTGAGGGAAAGATGAGAAACAGAGCTGGCCAAGAGGACAAGGATAAGATGAACAAGTATGCATTTTATCTGGTGGCAAGAGGGAAACTATAAGGTTATGAAAGCAAAGAAGTATCATAATCAGATGTGCACTGTAAAAAGATCATTGTGGTGGCAGCAAGGAAAATGGCTTGGTAGAACACAAATTTGGATATAGAAAAAACAGCCGAGGAGCTGCTAAAATCATGAAAGGACCACAAGTTCCTGAAGTTAAAAAAAAGTAGCAGTGGGGCTTAAAAGGAGAAGGATGGAAAGTATAAAAATTTAACAGGATATACTGAGAAAATGAATATTAAATGAAGAAGGAAAAGTCAAGGATAACTCTAAAATGTACAGCTTAGTAACTAGATGGATAGCAGTACCATCATTCTATAAAATACATATATGTTAGAAGTTAGTTTTGGAGAGTAGTGAGGGTAAGTGAGATTTCAGTTTTGGCTATGGTGAGTCTGAGGTAGGAGAGAGAGAGAGAGAGAGAGAGAGAGAGAGAGAGAGAGAGAGAGAGAGAGAAAACAAGAAAGTGCCAATGGAGAGTACGGGGGACAACTGGATATTTAGGTCTGGAGTTGAGGAGAGGGAAGGATCTAAGCCAGAGTGTAGAATTGACCACTGTCTCAATTGATATGGTAATAGGAATTGTGTACATAGCTGCTACTGTCCAGGTAAGGACCAAAAGTAAGAAAAGAAAAAAAAAAGCAGCAATATTTAAAGGGCAAGAAGAGGAAGAAGGGCTATGATAGGAGTTAGCCTGTACAGAAACAGCCTGAAAGGTATTAAAAGCAGGAAGGAATGGCTGGATTAAAGCCAAAACAAAGAGTTGGGGGGGTGGTCAAAAGTATAAATGTGACAGAGGTCAAAATAGAATGAAGATTAAAATTTGATAAGTGAAGAGTCATTAGTATCCCTAGCAAGAATAATAGTAATGGCATAGAAATTGGATCTTAGTGAGCTGAAAGATGAAAAAAAGGTGAAGAAGTATTCATAGGGAAGGCTAACTGTTTTCCAAATGGCTCTAAAAGGAAAGAGGGTACATTCTGGATCTAAAGTGTCCCCCAAAGGCCCATGTATTGAAGATTTGGTCCCAAGCCTGCGATGCTATTGGGAGGTTGGGCCTAATGGATGGAAATTAGGTCATTGGAGACATGCCTTTAACGAGGTATTGGTACCCCAGTCCCTTCTTGCATCTCTGCTTCCCAGCCACTATGAAGTAAACATGTTGCTCTATTATGTACTCTTTCCATGATGTAGTGCCTCATCACAGGCCCAAAAACAAGGTGGCCAAGTGATAATGGACTGATACCTCTGAAACTAAGCTAAAATAAACCTCTCCTCCTTAAAAGTTGATTATCTCAGGTATTTTATCACAGTGAAAGAAAGCTAACACAGAGGGCAATTGCTAGAAGCAAGTATGATTATTTTTCTTTAAAGATAAAGAAAAAAATATTTGGACATACTTCTGAAGGAAGAAACTAGTCAAAAAGAACAGGTTGAAAATATAGCAGAAAGAGGGATTAATTGATAGAGTTGGTTTCTTTAAAAAGTAGGAGAGGATGGGATTTATAATATAGGTAGCATATACACAGATTGGACATCAAGTCCTCTGTGATAGTCAGGAGAAAGACATTCAAAAATGTTAATAATAATAATGGGAAGATGAGGTATCACTTTGACTTTTCTGTGAATCAGGAGACATGTTTTAATATGTGCCTATAGAAAGTATAACCAGCTTGAAAGCAAGGTACAGATTGGCAACACCTGCTTGGTGCAGCAGGACTAGGACCCAACCAGGAACACATACAACAACTGCTAAGTAGGCAACTATAGACTATAAACTTGAAATAGTACAAATTAAACCTGTAATAATACAAATTAACATGTATAAAATTTATTTACTTGCAGCAATGCTCAGTAGTCAGAGTATAGGAAATTACTGAGGTAGCAAAGCAGGTAGAATAGAAGAATAAGGGACAAGGTGGAATGGAGAAGTTTCTGTACTAACAGGTCTTGGTAAATAGGGAAGAAAGTTTAAAAAGTGAAGTTAAAAGTATAGAGGTCTCAATGAGCTTGAAGAACCATGCTATCTAGAATAAATGTTTGAGAACTGGCATATAAAAACATAAAGAAATATAAGTGCAGAGAGTTCAACAGTCTGTACATGAACCTTCAAATCTCCTGAATAAAGAGGGAGAGACAGGTGTTAAGGCCTTTCTCAAAGTCTTTAATGGAGGGGGGAGAGAAAGAAATGTACAAGGTAATATAGCCAAATGAAACAGATCAGAAAGGAAGAAAAAGTTTTGTAAAGATCAAGGAGAATACTAAACTTTCCCTAGGCCATTTAGTTTGTGGCATGTAGGAGAATGAGCAACTTTTGTAGTAACAGTGCAAGAAAATTTGTATTCCTGGAAGGGTAGTTAGGTTGTAAGAAAGGAGTTAAAGAAATCTGGAAACAGGCATCTCAGCCTTTTTAAAATTTTTAGTTCAGCAGAGACTTCCATTGGTATCAGAGGCCCAACAGTAGCAATTATGCTCTTTTTAGGGATCCAAACAGAGTGAACAGTAGACAGGACAAGATGCTCTATTGCATTACTAATGATAGAAACACAAATTAAAACATGATATAAAACTGATCACCTATCACATATACAGAGATTAAAAAAAGATTAATGATTACCATTGCTGGCAACATTGAAAAATAGGTATGGTACTACATTTTCAGAGGCACTTGACCACACCCATTAGAATTTGAAATATTCATATTCTTTGACTAAGAAAATCTACTTCTAAGAATATTCACATACGTAAGGAATCATGTTTAAGGTTATTTGGTGCAGCAATGTTTATATTAGTGAAAACTGAAAACAACAGAATTTTTAATTAATGGAAGACCACTGTAAATTCCCACAATGGAATATATATAGTTTTTGGAAAAAATGAGGTTGTATTGACTGACCTGATCTGAAAAATGTTCACTATTTTTAAAGATGAAAAGGCAATTACAGAACAGTATATACAGTATAGTCCTATTTTTACATAGTAATAGTATATGTATGTATATTGAAAAACTCTATAGCTGTACTATCCAAAATGAAAGTCCCTAGTCATCTGTGAGTATTTCATTTGAATTTGTTAAAATTCATTTAAATAAAAAAATTCAGTTCTTCAATTTCATTAGTCAAATTTCAAGTGCCTAGTTATCTTCTGTGGATAGTTGCTACTCTTTAAGAACATACAGAGCATTCCTATCATCACAGAAATTTCAAATGGATAGTACCAATCAAGAGACATACATATTAAACTATTAATAGTGAAATGTGTGATGTGGGAAAACAAATGGGAAATGTTTACCTTTTGCTATGTATTTCTGAAATATCAACTACTTTATTAGTGTGCACATATTGCTTTTTTAATGAGAAAAAGTAAATAAAAATAAAGAAAAGAGAGAGAGAGAAAAGTGGCATAGTGTATTAGAGAACAACAAGAAATCTACAATAGCCAAGTTGGGAAAGATTGGATAGCAAACTACAGGCTTTAATAGGCAATAGAATAGAGAACCATTGGGGGATTTTCACCATAAAGTAACATAATCAGAAGTGTTGCAAATGACTTTCTAGATAATCTGAGGAGTAACTACTAAAGAAGTAAAGCAGTTAGGAAGTTATTATATTACTTTGGAAAGGTTAGTGAATGTGTTAGGTAAGGAACATATGTTAGAAGCATCTTTAATCTATAATGTTAATTGTAAAGAAAGGATAGATTTGAAACACTTTTGAAATAGAACTGATAGGAGTTGGCAATTGACAGATGGAGGAAAGAGGGAGAACTGAAGACTGATTGAAGTTTTAAAGCTTGGGATACTCTATAGGTGGCAAGGTTATAAGGAGCACAGGATAATTATGCAATCCCAAATCTATTATTGGTCAACTAATTTTAATTCAACCAATAATTTAAGGTTGGACAATCTATCAAATTGCCCTCTCCTCCATCATCATTTTCTTTTGTCTAATAAATTTGGTTTCAGACAGGGACTATAGATGTATGGTTGTAGGATATATGAAAAAGGAACAACATGAAGAATGTTTTGAATAGAGGAATTGAAATAGCCAAAAGGGTCACATAGTAAATACTAACACATTACAATGAAAAGTGCAGGCAACAGAACTAGGAAAACAAAAAGTATTTAAGGCAGTTAATTACACACACACAGATATTCATATTCATTCATTCATTCATTCATTCTCTCCCTCTTTCTCTCCAAACCTTTTAAACCAAAAGATATACATCATTGCTTTCAACTGAGAAAATGACAGCAGAGGAGTGAAGAGTCATTTTCTCCTTTCCTTTACTTCTACCAAATAAAGAGGGGTGGGGTGAAGAGGGAAAGTTTTCAGGTAGGAATATATAAAAGATAATTCAAAATGAGAAAATATATGCTTTGAATTTCCTTTTTTTAAAAAAAAATCATCTTAAAAAGGCTGGGGTTCTGGAGGTCAGAAAATAAGTGGGTCAGCCTAAATGTAGGGTAACAAAGCCTGCCTAGACTGCATTCAGAGGCAGACCTATACAAAAAGAAGCCATAAAAACGTATGTATTCAGAGCTCTGAATACTCACAGATATGTAAGCTCTGCATTTATTTCACACTCACCCTTAACACAAAAACACATCAGAGAGTAATTGAGCTGGAGGGACTATTAAAGATTACCTAAGAATTTTAAACTGAGGTGTAGGTCTATGATCTCCCTGAAATTGAGGTCTACTTTTATATGTATAATTATATCTGCATTTTCCAGAGGGGGAGATGATCAATCTCATTCCCAAAGTGTTCTGTGGGCCCCCCAAAAGTTACACTAGATACTATAGAACCATTTTGTTTTATAGATGGAGAAGTGAGGCCCAGAGAGGGAAGAAACATGCCCAAGGGCAAACAGTTGCAGAGCTGAATCCAGAAACTAGATTTCTTTTAATATTCTTTCCACCATGGCACACTACTACTTCAAGAGATCCCATATTAAAGTCAGTGCAAATTCTTAAAAGTCTTGATTATTACCTTTGTAATGAAAATTCCAGCATCCATAATAGCTTTAATGTGTCTCAACCACCCTGAGCTCTCCAGGCCACTAAGAAATTCACTCATTGTTGGAGTTTTCAATTCACAAACTAAGGTAGAAAAGGAAGCAGAGATTGAAATTCACAATCACCTCAGTTTATTCATCAAGAAAGGGAAGAAAGTGGATCCCCATTTTGTAAATGAGGAAGCTGAGGAACAGAGAGATTAAATGATTATCTGAAAACCATACAGTTGAATCAGGAATAGGACTAGGGATAAAGTCTACCAGATTTCCTACCATGGGTCTCTGCTTTCCCTAGGTTTGGAACCTACCCTCAAACACTCAGAAATCTCTCAAGAAAGCCCAAAGTATGAGTCAATACCTACAGGAAAATACTCACATCTCCTTTCATTAAAAACACATTTGATCCCCATCCTAATCCCACCCACTCATCCTAATCCTATAGGCTCTTAACATCTGTCTCTACTCCTATGCCTCCACCTACTTCTTTCAGCTCTGTGCTGTCTCAACAGGTTGCACGGAAGGGAACACATTAATTTTTGTGCACCTTTCACTAGTTATCCAGCAGAGGGCAACCTTTTGCCTCAAAATCTGTAAAACAAAGTTCCCTTCAACAGAATGAAAACAGGAGAGAAACAAGGAAAACGGATATTCAATATTCTAAAAGGGACATAGACTGAGGAGACAGGATGTGAGAAGGGTTGTATAGTGGAGAGGCCCTGGCATACTGTATCAGTACAAAACTGAAGAATATAAAGGAAGAACAGGTAGTTCAGTAAAGAAGGTAAGTTTTCATGATCTTTTCCTGAGTTGGCATATCACATCATGGAATTCTCAGTAGTGGTTTAAGAAGAAATGTTCTAAACTCAAGAATCTTACAAGGCCCAGCGAACCACCTCAATTCCCCTTTTGACACCAATTATTTTGCAGTGATGACAGATGGCCAAAATGTCTGATATCAGCATTTTTTCCCTTGGAGATCTAAATTCAACTTCTTCTTCAGCAATGATGATATCAAAATGATTCCGTATAGATCATATGAGGTTACTTTTTTGCCTTGAGGACAATGAAATGAATTCCAAATTCATTCATGCTTATGTTGGTCTAACCACCCCTGAATACCAGCCTCTGTAATTCTATTGAGAAATGAGTTTCGAAATATCTCATTCCCCTTGCCAGACTAACACTGCTATAATTCAGTATTCTTTTAAGTTATGTCCATACTTTAGTTAAACATCTCATCATTTATTTACTCTGCTCACCTGCTGGCTTTTATGTTCCACCCCAAATCAGGAATGCTTTTTTTTTTACATAATAGTGCCAAAGTATGGCCTCTGGCCTAGCCAAGGTGAAATCCCTGTACCTTCCAAGAGTTTTTGCAGGCTGCTCCGCATCACATGAATGTTCTCAATGCCCATGAACCTGAAGCGAATATTGGCATAGTTGTCTTCATTTTCATACCCCTTACCAGCTGCTCGGTTGGCCATGGCATTTAGCTGTAACAGTAGAGGGCATAACATAGCAGATAATGCCAAATGATGAAGGAGTGGGGTTCATCAATCTCAATACCTCATTCAAAACAGTTTTAAATCTTACATATTCTGGTATGGAGCGAATTTCACTATTTTTTAGACCAAGTACTTAGGTAACCGACTCACAGAACGAGGGAAATTGAGGTTTTCTTGTATTACTAATATCCTACTTAAGAGATGAAGGATGTGGCAGTTATAAAGATATTTGATCTGAATAACTAAAATAATAATTTTGAGCTACCTATTACAAACCAGTATGTTCACAGCTGAAAGGACTTTAAAATGAGAAAAATGTAAAAGTTCACAACTTTACAAGTGAGAAGCTATAGAAATAACTCTATGAACCTCTGGGCTAATCAATTTTTGATAGTTATTCTAGAAAATATATCAATAACATGGCTGTATAAGAATGTTTGGCAGAAAATGAGATTTACAGAAAGGAAATATTCATGCAGTCACTTGAAGTCAGCCAAAATACCTTCTATGATGATGACCATCTTACTGATTTTCTGTTGTTTGCCAGTTTTCTTATCTACTGTGTATTGAGCATTTCAAGAGGCAGGAGGAGCATATACATGGACAAGGTGTGATTTTTGTATTCATGGATGAAATGCAAAAATCTCACAGCAAAAACTATACACATTAGCAAATATAAAGGAAAAATGTGCAAAAGGTAGAAATGTGACAGTAATTTTGATCTTTTATCACTCTGGCAGTGTCACTGAGCTTTCATTAAATGACAGATGTCAAAGGAATACCTGTGGAAGCACAAACAACAGCTGCCTAGTTGCAATGAATTTAGTTATAAGTGATTCTTCAACAAACAAAACAATGATTACAGCAGTTCCTATCCAGGTATGGGTAGGATATCTAATGCAAATAGCTAGCAACACTGTGCCAGTACTCCATGGAAATATACCTGGCAGATTTGAAAAGAGCGAGGTATTAACATATTGATGAAGAGATGTTTATATATATATATATATATATATATATATATATATATATATATAAACATCACATACACATGCACATATATGCACACACACGTGTACATACACATATATATTTATTTATACACACACATATAATATGTGTGTGTGTATATATATATATATATATATATATATATATATATATATTTTTTTTTTTTTTGGTACTATGGATTGAACCCAGGGACACTTAATCATTGAGCCACATCTCCAGTCCTTTTTACTTTTTTTATTTTTAGACAGGGTCTGTATAAATTGCTCAGGGCCTCACTAATTTGCTAAGGCTGGCTCTGAGTTCCTGGTATGTGCAAGATGATGCTGTGCTAGATCTTTAAGTGCATTATCTCATTTGATTCTCAGTATAGCCTCTCATGGTAGGTACTATTATCATCACCATAAGAAAACAGGTTCAAACAAGTAAACCAATTTTCCTAGGACCATATGGATAAGAGTCAAAAGGCAGGAAGGATTTGACCCCAGGTTTGTCTGATTCCTAAGAATAATTTTTTTTCACTACATCTACTGAAATTATATATTTAGGCATCTAGAAGAGAGAGATTTCCAGATATCTCTAGATCTGTTATTGCTTCAATTTTCTGGGGATGAAGCTTGATGATAAAGCACTTGACTAACATGCACAATGCATGCCCTGGGTTCAATTCTCAATACATATCTTAATTTGCTTGAATTTGAGAGGAAAATGGGACCTGCTAAAAGGGACTTTCTGGTGCTAAATTTTAACAAATCCCTCCAGTTTTAAAAAGCTTAGTTTGTTTCTTGTGTGTCTCCCTCTTGATAAAAGATATATATTTGATTTAGATCTTTCCAATATCATAATGTCAAACATTTATGACTGAAACAAGACAGCAAGCTTTTGAGAAACTGAAGGGTGGTGCCTGAGCAGACAGGGAAATTATTTTCTTCTTGGGTCCAGTCAGTCCTAGGTAGCTCTGGAGAACAGCCAGTGAGAGATCACAAAAATGGGATAAACAGTTGTCTAAGGTCACTATCTGGTTTCGTGCATGTCCAGTTGCTCAACTCTGAAGCCACAACCACCTGGCTTAGGCTTAGCTCTAAATCACTGATTTTGCAATCATTAGGTTGCAATTAAATATCCTAATCGTGAACATTCCACACCTACAATTCTAAGCAAATTCATTTCTTTGGGGGTCTTTTTGTGAAAAGTACAACCTTTAAGAAAAGGGAATCTGTCCTTTACTTCTTTTATGGGGCACAATGAATTCTTGTATAAACTTTTATAGAATTAGACAAACTGTTGAAAGTCAGGGATTTAATGCAGAGAGGAGTTTAGGCTGATACTTAGGTTGATCTGAGGACCCCCTGTTCAGTGAAATTCACATTAGGGAAGAAGCCTGAGAAAACACAATGCAATAAGTCCACAGCACTGGGCTCTCAGGAAGATCAAAGGATTTTGCTAGGCCCATGTCCACTGCCAAAATCCATGGTGAATCTATGTCTCTGGTATTTTCTTACTCTATGGGACCAAGATCTAAACTGTACTTCATTGATTTGGGAAAAAAAAATTAGCTAATAGTGCTGTGTGCTAAAAAAATTACTACCACATGAGCTAAATATTTTTGTTACTCCTATAGCAGTCTGTGAATACTGCTTCTCTGGGGGACGCCAAAGTATCATTAATACTATTATTAAATACTATTATTTCCCAATAACAATGAAAGTGTCAACATATGGGGAGGGGATTGCAAGCAGCAGGAATATCAAAGAAGTCATGACAGATACCTTTGATCTTGGGTCTACAATGTAATATAATTTAATACATTATTTAGAGAAAGATATGTTGATATTACTAAGCCTCTGGTGTTTAAGTTGAAGTTCTTTCTCTGATAGTAAATTTAGACCATAGCAGGGGACTACTGAAAATTCTGGTTAAGGAATAGATTTAGTGAAAATGATGAGGAGATAGATGTCAATGAGTCTTCAACTCAGAATGTCAAATTGGGGTGACAATGCTAAGTTGTTCTAAGTAACTTCTCATAGCCTCATTTGAAAGTGACAGGTTTATAAATGGAGCATCAATGGCTTGTGCAAGTGATTTTATGTAATATCTGACACAACAAACCCACACACACTAATTTAACTTTCCCAGTAACATTGCAAGTGTCAACATACAAGGAGGGGATTGCAAGTAGCAGGAATATCAAAGAAATCATTGACAGATACCTTTGGTCTTGTATCTACAACATACATAAACTGGCTCCCAGGGTTTGTTTGGCTAATGGCCTCTAGCAAGAGCTCATCATCTACACAGCGAGTATAAAATCCAGACAGAGGCTGGCTACAGCGGCAAATGGCAGCCTATAAGGAAAAAATGTGTTAGCCAAGTCATCACATTTACAGGTGATAAAAATTCTTCCTTGAATCTAAGTTTAGGGAGTAGAATAAGAGAACAAGCCAACTTGGGTTAGTATCCACAGCAAAGAGATGTAGTTCTAAAGCCTAGCTTCCACTGATATTGAGCTAAGCCTCCTGCCTCCTCTTGGCATGTGGCTATTTCTCAACCCCGTCTTGGCAAATCAGACTACAAAAAAATCACATCTCGAGTGTTTCTTTAATAAAATCCTATTCTTGGTGCATAATGGATTGGTAATTTTTCTCAAAATGCCCATTTTTTTACAGTTCCAGTAAAATAATCCATATAAACTAGAGGCTTGAAGCAAGGGAATTCAAGATACAACAAAGATCTACAGATTTAGAGAACAGGGTTCACTATTTGTAGGAGTTAATGCCAAAATCAGAGGGCCGGTATATTTCAAGCCATTTCAACAACAATAACAACAACAAAAACCAACATAGATATTTAATAGGAATATCTTGTAATGATTAGTTAATTGACTTCATTATACTTTGGTGTAGTTTTGAAGGAGTCTGTGCATTTTGGTAGTTCCATAAAAAGATACCAATTGCATTAATGTACTCTTTTGCATTTCAGTAGTTGCCTATTTGGGGACTTAACTATTTGTCTAACCCTAGATCTCAAAGTGACCATAAAAGGTAAGAATTATTACCACTTCCTACTTGAGGTGACTCAAACACAGAGGAGTCAAGTGGTTTCTTCTTACAACCTTAAATTACATGAAAAAGAATAATAAAGGGTCAAGGATATCTATATTCTAGTGAGAAGCCACAGTTCCCAAATATATCTCATATAACTACTTACCTTTTTTTCTGCAACATCTCACTAAGATGGAACCCACAGAAAACAAACAAAAGAACAACAAAATACCACTCAACATATCCATGACATTTTACAATTTACAAAGTGCATATATATCCCCCCAATTGTGGCACCTTCAAAACTCTCAGAAATACTAAAGTTCAAAGAAGTTGGGTTTGAGGACACACAGCTATTAAGTGGCAGGGTGGGACTGAAACCAGGTCTTCTAGAGCAAAGTTTAGTCCCCATTATAGAATTTTGCTTAACTCACATTGTTCTCTTTATAGAGGTAGGAGAGCACAGGGACACGTTCTTTACTTCTGAACTTTGAACTTCCAACCACCGTTCCCAAGGTAACAGATTTAGGAACCACTATTTCAGGAGGGTAGGTACTGCATATCTAAAAGAAAATAAACTCAATACACACACACACCTATACGTATATATTTTAGAATTTTCACTTGCTATTAACAGGCTGTAATTAGCATTCACTGAAGCATTAGCTGGTTGGGATTTACCATCCAGATTCATCCATTCCTCAGAAATAGGAACAAAAATATCCTAGCTATAAAAGTTTTTCCAAGTATGCTATTATTTTCCAGAAAGGAAAGTATAAACACATAAAAACAAAATCTACCTTTAGAAAAACCAGAAAAATTATAGGCAAAAACACACATTCAACCCTACTCTGAAATTCCTACATTTGCCTATCAGAATAAATGATATAGATAATAAATAAGTAAATTAAAACAAATAAGCTCAAATGTGAGGCAGACAGGTGGAGGAGGAGGAAATATTATTTACTCTTTCATAAACTGCATACTGAGTTCCTGGTATGCATATCTAAAGGGCCTTTAATATACTAATGTGGGGGTGGATGTGTTGACATTTTAGGTGTGACTTATTCTATAAAGAGATCAACACGTTTTCTGAAATTTATTAGCTTTTAGTGCTTAATTTTTTTCCAATCAGATATTATAATAGCACAGACTTAATGCAAAATTAACTCTGATCACTCCCCTAAGAACACTCCCAAATATTTAATAATAAATCTAAAAAATAAAAAGACAAAAGTAATTTAAGGTAGATTAGATCAAGAATGCTCTACTTATGTCAGTGACCCCAAATACAGAATATTTGAAAAATAAGTCATTCTCTACCCATCCCTTTTACCTGTCAGACTTTTCAGAAGCAGGTCACACAAGGAGAAATAAATGAAGCTGCCCTTTTGGCTCAGAAGGCCATGCACATCCAAAGGGCCAAAATGGATATTTCAGACTTATTCAGGAGACTTACAAACATATTTGAACTGCACAGAATTCACCCATCTGTACTAATTCCTGTAAAGCATGGCCCAAATAAGCCACTTTGTAAATGCGTCTGCTAAGTGACAGCTCATCAGTTATCATGCCTAGTGAATACTTCAGAGTTGTGTTATCAGAAAACCATTGCAATTAGTACTTTATTCTGATAATAAAATCTGGAAATAATTTAAAGATCCAACAATTTAGGGATATCACTTATATACCAATTATTCATAGAAGGCCTGACTGCCATCCTTAGAAAGTCTTCCTTGTGATGTTAGTTTTTGGTTGGTGCCCGGAAACCTGGATTTTGGAAGGTTGTCCACCATTCCTTAACTGGTAAGAATGTCATTGTGCCTAAACTGTTTGTATGAACAATGTGATTTATGTAGAAAACATGCTTTCTGTTATGGTTTGGATGTGAGGAGTCCCCCCAAAGCTCAGATATTAGACAATGTAAGAAGGTTCAGAGGAGTAATGATTGGGTTGTGAGAGTTTAAACCCAATCAGTGAATTAATCCCCTGATAGGGATTGAGTGGTAACTGAAGTGGTAGGGTATGGCTGGATGAGGTGGGAATTGCTGTGGGGTTATGGGGTATATATTTTGTTTCTGGAGTGTAGAGCCTATTCCTCTCTGCTTCCTGAACTATTTTCCTCCACCACATTCTAGTGTCATGATGTTCAGCCTCACCTTGGGCCCTGAGGAATGGAGCCAGCCTTTTATGGACTAAGACATTTAAAACTGTGAGCCTTCAAATAAACTCCTCCTCCTCTACAATTGTTCTGGTCAGATCCTTTAGTCACAGCAGCAAAAAACCTAACTAAAACACTTTCCTATTGGGCATCTGAAATTTTGGTCTACATGAAGGCAAATGCAAGCAGCCAACCAATAGAAATCTTGGGCAATGAAGCTCTAATGAGCTTCTCTGATACACATGTGTTATAATTTATTGCTGGGGTACATTAAGTATATCTTATGTGACTCCACTGGGAAAGAACATTGAATGATTGTACTGTTTTCTCCATACTTCACCTTATGTTCCTTTTTCCTTTACTGATTTTACTTTGTATCTGTCACTATAATAAATCATAAAGTTCAAATATATGTTCAATCCTGTGAGTCCTTCTAATGGATCACAGAATCTGAGAAATGGTCATGGGAATCCCAAGTATACTCCTAGACCTCTATATTCAGCCCAGAGCTCTTTCTTCAGATACAGACACAAAGCTTAATATCAAAAACTAGATATCTTTTGAATCAACCTTGAACTCAAGTAAAAATCTGAAGATGTGTGTGTCCCTCTTTTTGTTGTCCTCATTTTGGCTAACATAATCACTACCTGCTTGGTTACTAAAGCCAAAAATAAGGAATCTTGGATGCATACTAAACTCCCATTCCTTTTTTCAACCACACTTTTACTTGCACCAGATTCTTTCAGTTCTATCACTTAAATATCCATCTTTTAGATTCTTCTCAATTTGTCTAATTGCCTTATTTCATGTTCTTATCATTTCATGTATTACCTTTTTGCATTCTTAGCCAGCAAGCCAATTCTCCAAACTAATAACAATAATTCCTTTCTAAAATACAAATATATTTTCATGCTCCTTTCTATATTAAGATATAGAAACTTCATGATAATGTTCTTCTTCAAGATAATGTTCAAATTTCTTAATTTAGCCATGAAGCCCCTCATGATCTGGTTTCCTTTTATCCTAACATAAATTAGGATAAAGTTCCTTCACAAGGAAATACCCCAAAACATCAAGCAACTTCTGGCTTCCCAGGTTGCTTTTCTTTTCCCTCATCTACATTCCCATAGCACCCCTGTGCTTTAGACCAGGAGATCTCTGACTTGGTGCCTTGAGCACAGTATGTATCTAATAAATGCTAATTGAATGTTAAATGAAAAGGAGAAATTTTATAAGGGATTCCCTCTTTTTCAAAACTTAATTTGCTGATATTCTGCCATTTTAATTAAATGTACCGAAAGGAAAGCAAAAATCACAAATCACCTCATAGTTTCTGTTGGCATCTGTTATGGTCCAATACCGATTGGGTATTCCCATTCTCTCAAAGTCTGATATTGGGTCAATCAGTTTCCATCCATTTTCCCTCATCTCTTTTGATGATTTGGGATTATAAGAGAAAGCATAAAGATCTTCAGGTAATACTGGAGAAGAAAGCCATGGAAACAAAGTTACTATAAGTAAAACTGAAAGACCACCAAACAAGGCGAATAAAGATTACCTTTTCCCAAAAGGAATGTTTGTCAGTCCCAGAAAAGAACAGGACTTTGTGTACATGTTTGTCTTTATGCAAGGGATAAGAACTGTCATATTGCTTTGGGTTCTTCTTTTAAAATGTTTTATTTTTTTTGTCACCAGTAGAAAGTGAGAACTTTCTTTGGCTTAGTATAAAAAAGAATGTCGAATAATAGATTGAATGAGGCTTTGGGTTTTCACATGTTAGGAAGGTAGTCCTTACCAAAAATTTTAACTGTTTGTAATTTCACGGTTTGTTTGACACATGCCACACAACATTAACAATTACACTGCATTCTACTTGTTAGGCCAACACCAACTTCTGGCTGATAAGGGCCACTTCTCCCTGTCAGTTTTGCTTCCTCCCTTCACAAGATGGGACATGCAATCAATACTCATTTGAGCAATTCAGGTGACAACATCTTTCCCAGAAATATCAGAGCCTATCAGAACTTTATTAATTGCTGGGTTGACTGGAAGGTTTTTCTATCAATAAAATATCAGCAAATACTGAGGAATTATTCTGAGGAAAAAGAGAAGAAAATGGGAGGTAAAACTTAAGAGCATGGGAATCCAAAGACTAAACATCAGAAGAGGCCAATAGATTAATTGCCTAGGAGTGAGGGCTGAGAATGAAAGTGAAGCTGGAAAAAGTAATGAAAATGATATATTAAGAACTATGATAAACAGCTCTAATCTTCCAGTTGGAATTGAAGGTAGGAGTAGGAATAGTGGGCCAAACATAAAGCCCAAAGGACAAAAGGAAATAAGACAATATCTATTAAACATCTACTATATACTAAGTGCACAGTAAAAAGAATGAATGTATCTAAGCTTCAAAGCAACCACCTTAGGAGTTTTACTCCCCCTACTTTTATAGGTAGTAAGCTAAGTTCAGAGGTTATATAACTTGTCTACATACCACAGATCTGGTAATAGAGCCTGGATCTAAACTCTGACTAACTATACAGCCCATGATCTTTCTATCATGATTCTCTGGAAAAAATTATTTTAAATAAAAATGCTATCATATACCTGGCTGAGAAAGCTTGAGTAGTGAAATATAAACCTCCTCACACACAAGGTCAGAGTCTAAAACAAAGTGGGCCACCCGGAAATTCTTACAGCGGAGGATCAGAGGACAGCCCATGCTAGTGATGGGCAACTTCTCCACAGTGGCAATGTGATGGAGTGCAATCTGCAAAACAGAAAAGAAGCAAGATAAACATACAGATGTGTGCTAACTCTATCATTATCAGTGTTCCTGACTCTCTGTAGTGATAACAGCATGGCCAGACATGTAATCAGATGGACAACCTACAACATCCTTTGCAAGACACAATGGCAGAATCTCAAACAGAAATAAAACATAATAATGGCAAAACAATGAGAAGCAAATAGCAGTGTTAGACAAATTCTCTAAACTCACTGATAAAAGATAAACAGGTTTAGTGGATTAGCTCAGCAGAGATAACTTCTCCATGTTACAATGGAGTTTAAAAATCATAGAATTATTATCAGAAGAAACCAGAACTTCCTCTTTTTAAGTGTTCAAAATTTGAATTATTATTCATTTTATTTTTTCTGCATTTATTGCTATTTAATTTGAAATTCTATTTTATTATATTTTAAATTTGTATTTATTTATTTTTTAATTTTTTTTAGTCATACATGGTATTAGAATGTATTTGAACGTCCTTTTGTTCTAACAAATTACTAATTAAAATAATGGTTAATAATCAATATTGTGATTACTCACTAGGTTGCCCATGACTATTAGCTACTTAATCCCTATAAGAGCCCTTTGGGGTATAACCACCCTATTTTAGGAATAAAGAGATAAAGGCTCTAAGAAGTGAATCCTCATGAGAGTTCACACAGCCAAGAAGTAGCACAAATAGGATTTGAAACATGGAAATCTAACTCTATAGTCATTCTGAAAACACTAGATCTGGAATTAGGACATAATAAAAACATTAGGAAAAAAATGTTCTCCCACATTTTAGACTCTAATGACAGCAAAGCAAAAATGCCAGATGAAGCCAGGTTCAGTAGCATGTGCACACCTGTAATCCTGGCAGCTCAGGAGGCTAAGGCAGAAGGATCTCGAGTTCAAAGCTAACCTCAAGTAAAAACAAGACACTAAGCAACCCAGTGAGACCCTTCTCTACATAAAATAGGACTGGGGATGTGGCTCAGTGGCCAAGTATCCCTGAGTTCAAACCCTGGTAACCACCCCCCTCCCCCGCCCCGCAAAAAATGTCAGATGATTGCTTTGGTTCACAATAATGCCAGCAAAAAAAAAAAAAAAAAAAAAGGCATAGAGAGGGAAATGGTAAAAGAAACTGTCTAAATAATGTAATCCTCTCCTTATAAATCAAAAAAGCCACAGAAACATTTTTATCATTTGATGTTTTTCTCCATATATGTCTCTGATGTTTCCTGCAACTACAGACCCCAGATGTGCTCTTTCCATTCTCTGGACTACCTCTTTCCTGTGCCTACAATGGCCTCCCAATCAACAGTGATTTTTCTTCTCTTCACCCCAGTTTTATTGGTAAGTCATCTCATTCATGAAATCTTCCAGTTATATCCACTGTCTAAGAATGGGGCAGGTGGGCTGGGGTTGTGGCTCAGTGGTAGAGTGCTCGCCTAGTACACTTGAGGCACTGAGTTCAATCCTCAGCACCACATAAAATAAAATAAAGATATTGCGTCCACCTACAACTAAAAAATAAATATTTAAAAAATGGGGCAGGTATGGAGATCATTCACATATGCCTAAGAGGAATTTTAATATTTTGTCAAACTCAGTTCCTCCCATGACAGTTTTGAGGATACCTAAAAATCTCTTGATAATGTAATAGAATTTAATGTATTAAATTTCAAGAAAATCAAAGCCCTGACAGTCAATGTGGGAGACATGTATTTGGATGGTAAAACAATGATCACCAAGATCGGGAGCAAGACAAACAACTGTGATAATGGATATACATATGAAATAATTATCTTAAAATTCTTTTTAAAAATACTGTGACTTTTTCCATATAAGGTTGTATCTTCTTCATTTTGCTGCAATGAGAGAGGAGTGGGGACGGAGACTAATTGGGCAGACTACAATTGGTAAGAACTTTATTAATAATACTGATTGGGTAAATAAGCCCCCTCTGACATGCAGAATTAAGTAACTTAAGTTCTCCCTTCTAGATCCTACCCACTGGGTTTGAAATACATGCCAGCAGGAACAAATTTTGAGACATTTAAACTGTCTATGAATGTAGGTGGACAAGAGATAAGCTCATGGTACAGTACTAAAGAGCTGTTTCCCAAAGTATTAGAACTGGGAGAGTATTTACTAATTACATAATCTAACCACCTAATTTTACAGATGGGGAAAAAACTCAAAGAGGGAGAATCACTTATGTATGGTCATATCACCAATTAGCTTCAGATCCAGCTAGAATAAGCTCTCCAGATTCCACTTGTGGCATTTCTTTTATTGCAGCAAAATGAGGAAGATACAACCTCATATGGAGAAAGTCACAGTATTTTTTAAGAGAATTTTAATATAATTATTTCATATGTATACCCAATTTAATTTATTTTCCACTCATATGCCAGTACTTATTATATCCTATGCACTGTTTTAAGCACTTAAAAACATTAACTTTGTAATTCTTATACCTTGAATTATCAATGTATTATTATTATTCCTATTTTGCATGTGAACAAGTTAATCACAAAAAAGTAACTTGCCCAAGGTTATAAAGGTAATAAATAATTAAGCTGGGATTTCAGCCTGAGCAGAGTGGCTCTAACGTCTGGGATCTTAATACTATGCCATATATATGAAACATGTTGTATTTGTTATAAATGAAGAGGTATAAGCATAAATCTAGCTAGTGACTAAGATTAAATTATGATGCTGCTTTAGGACAGGAAAATAATGTTAAGGGTACTAAAGTAGTTACAAAACACTATTCAAAGGAAAAACAAGAAACACACATGTACACTCTCACACACATGCAGATGAAATCCTGTCTTAGAACAGAGAGAGTTTACTTCAGTGCAGCCCAGGGTATATGCCATGGGGCCTAACCATTAGCATCATCTAAGAGCTTTTTATGAATCCAAATGTTCAAGGGCTCTCTAAGGGGTTGAGATTTTTTATTTTCCCCAAGCCCCCAGATGACATGGATGCTGCTGGTTCTTGGACCCTGACTTTTATGCAGCAAGGCTTTCCATTATTTCAGGATACTTAGCAATTAAAAAAGTTCAGAAAACAAGCAGAAACTACTAAACCTAAAATAACTGAAATAAATCTCAGGAACACTCTCATGACTACACCCAATAACTTGAGGGAAGAGAAATCCTACAATTCAGGCTACAAAAAGACTCTTAGAACCTATTTTTGAAGAATAGTTTTCACAGCAATTCAACAATGCTGCTGAAATTTCAAGGAACTACCATACATGTATACATAACTCTTTGAGATATTTTTATATTTCTTCTCAAACATACCCATGTTTCTTTCCTGGCTGTAGCACAAACCTCCACATAGATCAGGTGTGTTGCAGTAAGATACAGAATCCCATTAGCTGGTTTCTTACCCACATAACGATCCAATAACTTCACATTTTCTACCTGTTAATAACAGGAAAAAAAATACCATTATCAACTTACTATCTGTGACTAAAGTGGGAGAATTCAGAACAAGATAAATGCTGTCAATTTGCTACAAAAAATACTTTGAGATTTTCCACTTCCTGCCCAAGAAGATGAACTAGTATGATCTGTATTTCTTTTTCCTAAATCAGCCCAGGGAAATCTATAAAAGAGGGAAACATGAAATCTAAATAATATTAAAAATCTAGACAATGTTTACATGATGGGAAGGATATGGATGGAAAATAAACAGAATCTGAGAGCCTGCTGAAGTATTTATCTTGTTGGAGGAAAGGTTAAGTTATTTAATGTGTAGAAAAATCAAGAAGGGTACATAACTTGAGGATACATCTTAAGTTACTAAGCAAGAACAACATAAAACAGAAAGGAGAAAAAATGAAAAGAAAGTACTATAATTGACAGTATAAGATGAAATACCAAAAAAAGGTCCAACATAAGAATAACTATTAAATGTACCTGAATTAAACTAATTAAAAGACAGACTTACAGATTGGAATAAAGTAAGATTCAACAATATTCAGGCTAGAGAGACACACTGTAATATAAGAAGACACAAACAAATTGAAAATACTTTTTCAAAAGATACACCAGACAAATATGAACCAAAATAATGTTGAGGTAGAGCTCTCAATATATGACAAAATAAAATTTATGTGACAAAGAACAATAGGAGAAGAAGATACATCCATTATATACATGTATACATTTTCCAATAGTTTCAAATATATCAAGCAACTAGTAGAACCAGAGAGAGAAAAGGAACAAGTACACTTGAATATTCTAATATTCTTCTATTAGGAACTAATAGATCAAGCAATCATAAAAATCAAGTAGAGATAAGGAACACTTTTGCATTATCAATAAAAAATTCCAGGTATTATATACAGAGTAGAAGTACAAAAAATAAAGCATATAGAATCATTCAAAAAACAAATAGAATTTTCCAAAGAAAAAGACCATAATTATGGTTGTAAAGGAAGACTCAATAAATTTCAAAGGTTCAATATATAATTCTATGTTTTCCAATCACAATGCAATAATATTAGAAATAACAAAATAGTAGTCAAAATTAGCATATGTTTGAAACAAAATGGTCCATTACTAAATTAAACCTGTGTTAAGATAAATCATAAAATAAATATTTTAAAGTGAATGAAAATAAAAACACAAATTAAAATTTGTGGGACAATTAAAGAGAGCTAAGAAGGCAGTGTGTAGCTTTATATACATTTATAGTTTTATATATCAGTGTATAGCTTTATATATCATTAAATGAGAGAGGCAAAAAAAAACTAGCTAAGAATTCAATGTAATGGAAATGGCAAAATAACAAGGAAGAAGATGGATACTAATTAATAAGCAGAAAATCCTTTTTCACAGAGAAATGCATCAGAATTTGACTCTTTGAAAAAGTAAATAGATATTTTATAAAGATGAGAAAAGATTTAAATAAATAAAATACAGGATGAAAAAAGGAAAATAATATATAAAGTTTTAAGTGAGTATTAAATACAATAGGCTAATAAATTGGAAAGATGACATGAAGTAAAAAAAAAATCCCCCCCAAAATAAAATGACAATGATAGTGAAAGATTTCTCCTACCAAAAAATAAAAAAAACTACTCAGCCCCAGATGATATTATAGGTGACTTCTACCAAACTTCCAAGAAATAGTTAATTACTACCTTATCCAATTGATTCCAGTCACTAGAAAAAGAATGAAGTTTACTCAGTCCATTTCATGAGGGTAGTGTAATCTTGATTCTAAAATCAAATAAAGACAATTATAAGAAAAGAAACTTTAGGCCCATTTCACTTATGAAATGCAGATGCAAAAACAATTAGCACCATTTTTAGGGAAGATAATCATCTACTTAAAAAATTCAAAACGAAAAATCAAACTATAGGAACTAATATGAACAGAGTTCAGTAAAAATATAAGATAGAAGATCAACCCACAAAAATCTACATTTTTCTATACCAGCAATGACCACTTAGAAAATATAATGAAAAATACTGTTCACACTAGCAACAAAACCTATACAGAAACTTGTAATTTTACCAAGCATATACAAGATCTTTACAGAAAAAATCTTTAACTCTAGAGTTAACTCCCTAATAAAAGATGTAGAAGATAATCTAAAGAGATTGCCATGGTTTAAATATGTTCCCCAAATTTCATGCATTGGAATGTTAATCCCCAAAGTCATATGCTAATGGGGTTTAAGAGGTACAACATTTGAGAAGGAATTAGGTCATGAGGGCTCTGTTCTCATGAATTAATTAATGTATATATTCAGATTAATGGACTTATCCAATTGATTCCAGTCACTAGAGTTATCAAGGGAGCAGTTTTTGTTATCAGTGCAAGCTTTCTGTGACCAGCTTGCTACATTTCTAATGTGATACTTTCTAATCAGGCCAAGCAGGAAGGCCCTTGGTAGATGATAAACAGATATTAGTAACATGTTTTTGGATTTCCTAGCATTCAGAACTTTGAGAAATTAATTTTCTTTATAAATTACCCAGTATCAAGTATTCTGTTATAGCAACAAAGAAAATGAACTAAGACAGAAATGAAGACATCTTTGTTGTTATATGGGACAACTTCATATTACAAAGATGGCAATTATCCCTCAAACTAACCTATAAATTCAACCCAGTCTCAATCAAATTCAAAGTGGATTTTCCAACAAACTTATACTAAATCCAAACAGAAAAATAAGTCCCACAAATAACTAAATAAAATTTTTTTAAAAAGAAGACTAGACAGAGGAAGATTTGTTCTACTAGGTATCAAAATATACTCAAAGCTGTAGGAATAAATAAAAACTCATAGTACTACCACAAGAACAGAAAAAGAGACAAATGGGGGAAAACAGAGCTGAAAGGCAAACTCATATATAGATGGGAGCCTAATACAGCATAAATATAGCACTGTAAATTGATGGACAAAATATAAGATATGTACTAAATATGCTGGAGGAAACAGTATCATTACATAAAGACAGAATCATAACCCTATGTAACACAATATACAAAAGTGGACCCTAGATGTGACTATATATGAGGTAAAACTATAAAGTTTCTATGAAAATACTACAGAATACCTTGGATCTATGGGCAGTGAAAGACTTTTTAAAGGTTAATAACAGTATGGGAGAAAGTATGTGAAACGTTTAAAATGAATAAGGAACTACTATTTAGAATATAAAATTGACTCCTACAACTCAAGAAGAAAAGAAGGCACTAACAGAAATATATATAAAGCATAAGAGTAGGCAAGTTACATGAAAGAAAAGCCCAGATATATGCAACCATGAAGAGATGACAAAAACCTTTTTTAATAAAAGAAATGAAAATTAAAATGAGATATTAGTTTAGTTCTATAACAGAAAAAAATTAGAAATCTAGAAAATGTTACATATTGGTAGTGTTTCAGGGACACAGAAACTTCATCCACTAAGCTGAGGTGTGTCCACTCAGGAAGGCAATCTGACATTACTTAACATAAAAATTACTTATCAATTCTATTCCTGAAAATGATCCTGAAAAAATATTCATATAGGTCCATAAGAGGAAATGTACAGGATGAAAATGTTCAAATTTTGAGAACAGGCAGGTTAAATGTGGAAGAATATTATGCAACAATAGTGCTAATAAGAAGCAATGGGCTATGGTGGGCACAGTGGCACACGCCTGTAATCCCAGCGGCTTGGGAGGCTGAGACAGGAGAATCACAAGCTCAAAGCCAGCCTCCGCAACTTCTTAGCAACTTTGAGGCACTAAGCCCCGGTACCAGAGAGAGAGAGAGAGAGAGAGAGAGAGAGAAGCAATTGGCTATAGATACATATAACATGGATACATGGATGGGTAAAAGAAAATATGTACAATTTAGGGCTAAGTAAATAAATAAAAATGCGAGATATCCTTGCATAGATCAATAATAATTATGTGCCAGGAACTGAGGAACAGGTGATGAACTCAATACTATACAACAAAGATTATAAAAACAGAAGCAAACATACAAGCCCCCTTTCCTTAAACAAAACAAAACAAAACATGGGAAATAATCTTAGATACTTAAAAAGGTGATTTATAATGTTGGCCTCTATCTCATCTGTACCCAGGGTAAAACTTAGGATTCTAACATGCCCTTGGGCATCATGACTCACATTTACAAAGGGAGGAAAGAAGAAATGAGTGAGATCACACTGAATGCAAAACCCTCAGTCAAATGCTTTTTTTTTTCATTTTGCATATTCACATTCAGGCATCATTAGCTCGAAGTATATCAGTATAACAAATTACTATGCAGGCAAATTGCATATGGCTGAAAAGGATGACAATAATGATTTATCACCTCTTTTCCTGGAGACATTTAAGAAAAGTAAACCCATATATTTACTGAGGCTTTTTCTTAATCCTCTTCATGTGTCCCAATAAAAACATCATAAATATGTTTTATTGTGTATTCTAATATACACCACATATACACATACTATGTGTGTGTGTGTGTGTGTGTGTGTGTGTGTGTATGGAAATATTATCAAGACCACTGCTATAATTTGAATATGAAATGTCTCCCAAAGGCCCATGATCATGTGAGCCCTGGTAAAGCTCACACTAGCATCAGATCTTGTTATTAACCATATGATAATGGTTTTGTATTCATACAAGATGCAAAAGTACTGGGGTCGTGGAGGTTTCCACTGATACTTCAAAGGAAAGACTGTGAGGCCAGATTGTGTGTAGCAGGATTAGAGTCTAGTAATCAACCATTGGTGATGTGACAGAGTGATATGTGAAGCTATGAGAGGGAAGCCAAGGCTGTAATGGAGACCTCAGAAAGTTAGAGATGCCAGCAAAAAGGAACACCTACTGATGGAAGCTAGAGAAAGAAGGCAGAGCCAGCCCAAGAGAGTGGCCATGTGGGCTGCAATCAGCAAGGGTGAGGA